CCACTTGCGCTGGGTGATCTGAGCCGCCGTGTCCGCGGCGGTCCAGGAGCGCAGGTCCTCGTTCAGGGCGATGTAGTCCTTGCCGTCGTAGGCGTGCTGTTCATACCCGCGGAGGAGGCGCCCGTCCGGCCCCAGGTCGCAGCCGTACATCCTCTGGAGCGTGTGAGACCCTGGCCCCGCCCCCGCGTCAGCCCCGCCCATTTTCAGTTTGGGCAAAATCCCCGTCCCCGCCCCACCAACCCGCGGGGATTTTGGCCTAAACTGAAAATGAAACCGGGTAAAGGCGCCCGAGTTTCTCCCGGGTCGAGGGTCTGGGCGGGTCCGGCAGCCTCGGGGTGGATCTTGGACCCGGAGACTCGGGGCGACCCGGGCCGTCCGTGGGGAATGGGGAGGGATCGTGACCTGCGCACCGGGCCGGGGCCACTCACCGGCCTCGCTCTGGTTGTAGTAGCTGAGCGCGGTCCGCAGGTTCACTCGGTCAGTCTGTGCGGCGTCCCTGGCTCTCCGTGTCTGCTCCTCCCAATACTCCGGCCCCTCCTGCTCCATCCACGGCGCCCGTGGCTCCATCCTCGGAATCGCGGCGTCGCTGTCGAACCGCACGAACTGCGTGTCGTCCACGTAGCCCACGATGATGAAGCGGGGCTCCCCGCGGCCGGGCCGGGACACGGAGGTGTAGAAATACCTCATGTAGTGGGAGCCTGGGGGCGAGGAGGGGTGAGACCCGCCGACCCTCCTCCCAGCACCGCTTCTCGGGTCCTGCGTCCCCGCCGGGCGAGCCCCTCGCTCCTCCCCGCAGAGGCCGTTTCCCTCCCGACCCCGCACTCACCCGCCCAGGTCTCTGTCAGGGCCAGGGCCCCGGAGAGCAGCAGGAGGAGGGTTCGGGGCGCCATGACCGCCATCCTCGGCCTCTGGGGAGAATCTGAGTCCTGTTGGGTGACTGGGGACTTTAGAACCGGGACCGCGGCGACGCTGATTGGCTTCTCTAGATACCCGACACCCAATGGGAGTGGGAACTGGGGAGGCGTCGTGAGTATCCAGGAAGAAGGACCCGACACAGGTTGGGAGAGAAAGGGAAACTCTGCGGAGATGGGGAATCCCCAACGCTGCGCCTACCCAATATAGATACTACCTTCCGGGCCTGAGACCCTGAGAGCCACGCCTGAGCCCTGGGACTTCGCCCTGACCCCGCTCCTCCTGTGCCAAGCGCTCTGTCTCAATGTCTC